GAGAGAGAGAGAGAGAGAGAGAGAGAGAGAGAGAGAGAGACTCACTAAGCTTGCCAGGCTGTCCCTGAACTCACTCTGTAGCCCAGGCCTGCCTTGAATCTACAATCCTCCTGCCTCAGCCTCCTGCCTTAGAGGCCTGCACCACCAGGCCTGGCTTTGTCTAACTTCTTTGACCTAGCCTCATATATTTAAGGTTCATGCTGTAGCATGGATCATGTTTTAATTGCTTTTTATGGCTACATAAGATATCATTGTAGGGGCTGGAGAGATGGCTCGACAGTCAAGAACACTGGTTGTTCTTGCAGATAGACCTGGGTTCAAATCCCAGCATCCACATGGCAGCTAACAACTGTCCACATCTCCAGTTCCAGGGGATCCTATGGCCTCTTCTGTCCTACTCGGGCATTGCACGATACAGGTGCACTTACCTACATGCAGGCGATACACTCATACACATAAAATAAAAATAATAAATAAAATTTTTTTTAAAAAAAGATACCATTAGCCGGGTATGGTGGCACACGCCTTTAATCCCAGCAGGCAGATCTCTGTGAGTTCAAGGCCAGCCTGGTCTACATAGTTCCAGGACAGCTGGGGCTACAGGGAGCCCCTGTCTCAAAAAGACCAAAAAAAAAAAACAAAAACAAAAAACCATTGTATATATATACTATAGTTTACTTATCTGTCCATCCATCTGTTGATGGGTATCTAGGTTATTTCCACCTTTTGGACTGTTGTGAATTGACTCTCTGTCTAAGAACTTATTTTCAATTCTTCGGGGTACATACCATGAAGCAGATTCACTGGGCCATATGGTAATATAGTTATATTTGTAATTTTTGTTTTGGGTTGCTGCTTTTTGAGACGGGGTGTCATGCAGCCCAGGCTGGCCTCAAACTTGCTATGCAGCTGTCAATGACCTTGACCTTGACCTTCCTGCCTGTACCTCCAAAGTGCTGGAATTACAGGAATGAGCTACTACACCTAGTCACCCACATCTTTAAACGGGCTGATTCAGGTTTTTGCTGCAAAGATAAATACCCAATCACTCCCTGGGGTGGGAGCGGAAGCACCAGTAAAATACTCTCAAGAACTATAACAGCTCTTTGTTCGTTATTTTAACAATAACTTGCCTGGTGTCTCAGGCACTTTGAAATTACCCAGAGAGCCTAAAAACTAAGGCTTTCTCTAGAAGGGGTGCTCTTAGCAAGCAAACTTTATGACATGTCACTCCAGAGGCCAAGGCTACATACCATTTCTGCTTAGGTGGTCCACTTAGTGCCATAGTAGAAGTCCTTGAAGATTTTGTTCTTTTTTAAAAAAAATTTACTTATTTTTATCTCGGCTGGAGAGATGGCTCAGCAGTTAAGAGCACTCACTGCTGTTAGAGAGGACCCAGGTTGGGTTCCCAGCACCCATATGGCAGCTAATGGTCTGTAACTCCAGTTCCAGGGGAATCTGACACCTTCTTCTGACCTCCAAAGGCATTGCAAGGCATGGGTGCAATTACACACATGCAGGCCTAACACTCATACACGTAAAATAAAAATAAATAAAATATTTTTAAAAATTTATTTTTATTTTACATGTGTGAGTGTTTTGTCTGCATGCGTGTAAGTGTACCCACATAGTCCAATGCCTGTGGAGGTCAGAAGTGAATGTCAAATCCACTGAAACTGGAGTTACAGATAGCTGTTAGCCACCATGTGGGTGCTGAGAACTGAACCCAGATCCTCTGCAAGAGCAGCCAGTGCTGTTAACCACTGAGTCATCTCTCCAGCCCAAAGACTGTCTTCTTTTATTATTATTATTTTTTTAAATTTATGTGTGGGGGCTGGAGAGATGGCTCAGCAGTTAAGAACACTGGTTGTTCTTGCAGAAGACATGGGTTCAAATTCCAGCACCCACATGGCAGGTAACAACTGTCCATAACTCCAGTTCCAGGGGATCCGACAGCCTCTTCTGTCCTCTATGGGCATTGCACGACATGGGTGTACTTACCTACACACAAGCAATACACGCATACACATAAAAATAATAAAATACTTTTTAAAAATTTATGTGTATGAATGTATTGCCTGCATGTGTGTGTGTCATGCAATGCCCACAGAGGTCAGAAGAGGGCGTTGGACCCCCTGGAACTGGAGTTACAGACTGTTGTTAGTTACTATGTGGGTGCTAGGATTTGAACCCTGTGCAAGAGCAGTCAGTACTCTTAACCACTGAGTCATCTCTCCAGCCCAGATTTTCTTCTTAAATGAGGATGCAATCAAGGGAAGACTACTGGACTGTGAAAACAAAAGATTGACTCAGATTGAAAGTTTGACTGATAGGTGTTAACAGTGTGGAGAAGAAAGAAAATGAAGCAAAGGGATCTGGGTCCTAATCCTTCATGTACTGTCTATTTTGTTAACTTCCTTGAGTCTGTCTTCTTACTATTTTTGATGGTGCTAATGATGCCTAATTGGCAGGGTAAGTAAAAGTTTCTAATCTAGATCAATATTACTGATCAATAAATGAGCAGTAATATTGAATTGAAATGCTGGTGATTGACATGAGCCATGTGAAGACATGCTGCTAAGGTCATATTTGATCATGTGTTTCTCCTCAAATCAAGAGTAGGATACCATCAAAAATAATTTGGCCAGGAGATAAGGACTTGGACTTATAACTTGGTACTACTTCCCAACTCACTCCTTACTCCTTGATTTAGGATGGCAAATTACACTGTACAGAATTTTTAACTCGGTTGAGCCTTATCTGTAAAATGGAGTAACAACATCTACTTAATAGAGCTGTGTGAGGATTCAGTGAGATGGTGTGTGTGGAGGACTTAGCACAGAGCTAGTTAATAGATAATACTCAGTTACATGTAAGACAAGTGAGCTACTTATTTCATTATCAATAACAAAGCTCTTATAACCTCTCTGAGGAAATTATTAACAGGAGAGCAAGATCAACACAGAGTCTAGTAAATAAAGCCTTAGAAAAAGAGCCCATCTAGGTGACTTGTCTCCTCCTCAACACCTCCCAGGCGGTCCATGCCCACAGCAGTTAGGCCTACTGCTTTGCACTCCAACAGTTTGTGTCACGGGTCAGTGACCACAATTCAAGCCTGGTGGGCTCGGGGGCCCTGAGGTATAGGTGCAGAAGAAATCAGGATGCAGGGGATGCAGAGGCATGTGAACCAGTGCATGCTTCATTCTAAGAATCAACCTTATTTATAGTACAACAAGAGGAAAAGAAAATGTTCTTCTCAAGCCAAAAACCTCATCATGATATTTACAGTACCTTTATGATATTTGCAGTACCTTTGTGTTTCCAGGGCTCAGCCCTTTTTGGAATTGTACCTGTCCTTCCATGCTTATTAAACGTTCTGTTCTTTACTTATACCTTTATTAGCTACACAGCTCTGTTTTACAAGCTTCCTTATGTACGTTTAATAGGGTTTAAGGAACAGTCAGTCTCATGATAGAAATCACTGCAGAAGAACATCCAAGTTCTCAGGGAACTGAGGCTTCCCGGTCCAGATCTGAGTTTGCTACAGATCAGAACTCACTCTGAGTTTACTTCAGATCAGAGCTCTGGCCTTCACAAGTTTGTGAGAACAGTTCTACACAACTTTCTGCTGAGATCCAGGCTCACAAAGCAGTCTTAACATAGCAGTTGATTTCTACGAAAGCTTTCTAAAGGAGAGAAATGTGCTGAGCCACTAAGCTGAATGCTCCAGAGTTCTGAGACATTACAATATTCCTTGCAAGTTAATTCATTGGTGTTTCCCTTATCCATCTGTCTGTTACTATTTTGAATGGACAAAGTGCCTGAAGCCAAATTGAAAATGGATATTAGAAACTATTTTAATCTGGTTCTTCAAGGAAGGAACAGTCTTCTTCAAACTTGCCAAAAGATGAAGTTTATTCAATCTTGGATGAAGTATAGTAGTACAATACCAACTTCAGCAGGATTCTGCAGGCATCTAAAAGCCACCAGGGACCAATCGTTATCTTTTTCATTTAAGGGCAATGTTCCTTCTTCTTCCCTCCCTTCTTCTCTTTTTTTTTTCTTAATGGAGTCTTACTATGTTGCCCAGGCCTACCTCCAACTCTCCAGCCTCCTGCCTCTGCCCCCTGCATGCTGGGATTTCACGATTGCTGATTACCATATCCAGTTTGTCAGCATGTCTTTCCATGTCTCTTCTGATCCCACTTTCCTTGTCTCTCAGTCTCCTCTCTCTCTCTCTTTCTCTTGTTAAACCTGTCTCTGTGTAGGCGCTGCACCCTTCTGCATCTGCCAGCCTGCTCCTTCTGCTTAGCCATCTTGCCCTTGGCCATAATGGACATCTCACTGCCAACCACCAGGACTCAGACCTGGAACATGTTGCCAATTACTCCTTGTTCCCAGATTTAGAATGGCAATTTAGAGTTAGTATGGAAACCTTCTCCTTGTCTCGTTTCATAGTTACCCAGATGGAGAAGGAGGAGGGGGGAGAGAAGGGAAGGGAGGGGAGCAGAGGGGAGGGGAGAAAAGAAGGAAAAAAAAACCCCAACAACTGGTCAAACCCATCATTTCAAGCCAGGACAAGGTTGCAGCCTGGCCTGTGCCTTGACTA